GGTCTGCTTCTCCTGCTGGGTCAGCAGCACCTGGCCATTAGCTGGCGTCAGCACTGGCTTGGGCTGCCCTGCTCTCCTGCCACCCTCCTGGCGGAGCAGGTCTCTGTGGTGACAGCTAGGTGGAGGCCGCACCATGGGACACATGGAGGATCCCCAGGGGGCCGACTCTGCCCCCCGCGATCCGCCCTCTGCCTGCAACCCAGGACAATGGTGGCTGGACTGCGGCTGCCAGCTGGGTACAGCCCCCGTGTCTGCTGGCTGGGGGCCTGTCGTGGCCTGGGGGAACCCATCCAGCCTGGGCTAGGAATTGACTTTCTAAGTGGTCTAGCTGCATGGTGTTATTGTGGGGAGTGGCCAGGGCAGTTCCCCTACCCCCCTACCTTGGAGCCAGGACTCCTGGGTCCTCTCTGCACCAGAGCAGGGGCACCCTTGGGGCAGGCTCTGTGCGGTGCCGGTGGCACTGCCCATGGCTCTGCCCCCTTCCCCAAACACTCGATTCCCAGAGGGCTCGGTGCCCACCAGGCATTGGGTCGTTGTCTCCTGGCCTGGGCCTCTTGCCCTTCGCCACTGCTGGGGGGGGCTGGGTGTGTGTGTGTGTGTGTGAGCCCCCCAACCAGCCTGCACGCCATCTGCTCCCTCCTCATCCTCAGTGTTACGGGGCTCGGGCCCCGCCCCACTATTTATTAGCTGATTAAAGAGCGTGGCTGGGATAGCGCCACCCAGGGTGAGTCTGTGTGTGTCTGTCCGGAGGTGAGGGGACCACAAGGGAGAGGGGCGCTCCCCCAGTGTCCCTGCCCAACTCTGCCCAGCGCCTCCCCACAGCCAAAGCCTGCCGGGGCTCCCATCCTTCCCCCCAATGCCCCCTCACCAACACCCCTGCTCCCCCTGCTGCCCCTCAGCCAGCACCCCTGCCCCCATCAACCCCCCGCATCCCTGCCCCACTCTGCCTGGTGCCAGAGCCTGCCAAGGCTCCCATCCCTCCCCCCCCCGGCCAGTGCTCCCCCCGACCCCAGCCAGCACTCCTGCCTCTGTCCCCATCAACCCCCCGCATCCCCACACCACTCTGCCCAGTGCCCCCCCGCCAGTGCTCTTGCTGCTCCCCCCTGCTCCCCAACCACTGCTCCTGCCCTTATCTACCCCTGCATCCCTGCTCTGACCAGGTCCCCCCCCCCCCCCCCCCCCCCCCCCCCCCC